ACCTTAAAGCCCATCTCATTCCACCCCCTGCCAGGGGCAGGGACACCTTCCACTAGAGCAGGCTCCTCAGAGCTCCACCCAGCCTGTCCCTGAACACTTACAGGGGTTGGGCATCCAAAACCTTTCTGGGAAATGATGGCCATTCACTCAAAACTCTCAGCAGCCTTGGAGATATTCAGCTCCTGGAGGATGCTGGGCAGACCTTTATTTCCTCATTGCGCAGATAATACTGCCTTGGATATCAAAAGCACCTGAAGACACCTCAGTAGTGGTGACTGCATAACAAAGTTTATTCCAACATTCATGATATCCTTTGCAGAATGGACTAGGCACAAGCACATAAAAGAAATAGGTCTTCATCTTATTTAAACTTTTCCCAATTCATCCCCTAAATTCATTTGGATGCCAGAGCTGTTGCAGGGGCCACAAGTAGTTGTCTACCTGGGTACCCACCAAACTGAACTGGTCAAAATAAAATATGCATAGCAAAGTCATAGGAACCTAAGGAACTCTCAGACTAAGGTCAAACTCTGAGGCTGAAGGTTCAGATATAAAGAGAATCCAGAGACTGGCAAGTTCTGCACCATTAAGGATTGCAGCCAAAAATGTAACTCGTATTTTTTTAGGTGACCAAGCATGTTTTAGTTCTTAATTTTAAAAATGGCAATTAACAGTTATTAATAACTGATTTATCGTGGATTGTTTGGCACTAAATGCCTAAAAGCCTGGCCTTCATAATGCAATGGCATAAAGGAGTTCTGGTATAAATCATCATGGAATTAGATACATTTTTCCTAAAGAAGAGAATGGTCTTCTAGTCAGAAGACACAAGAGGCTTCTAAATGTCCTGCTGTTGGTTCAGTTGTGCATATGAGTGCATTGCCAAGACTTGCACCTCAAGGTGCTTGGTTGGATTAATGGCAGAGCACAGAGATGTCAGATGTCAGAGGACCTCAGATCCCCCCAACACCCTGGGGATATTCATGGTAAAGAGCACACAGGGTAGTGAAAATGTTAAGGGCTCAAAACGGTAGACTGACTTAAAAATACTAGAGTCCACAATTTATCAGTTTATCAGTTTATTCCTCTAAAATATTAATACTTTTCCTGAAAATATTTGCAGTGGCAGTTTCAGAAAAATGTTAACAGCTCCAGAGGAGGTAAATAAAGGAGATAAATATCACAAGCAGTATATAAGCAAAGAACAGCTTCACCTTGAGTAGACAGAAAAGCCCAAGGACATCCTTATTTGAGTCTCACAAGAATGCTTGTTGTCCAATTAAAATAAGCAACCTCTGTACAGGAAACTGAATAAAGCCCATTACCTTTTGTGTGGTTGCTGCTTGTTGGGGGTATTTTTTCCTATTTTTAAGCCACATATGAATTTTTCAATCATTAGATGGGCAAACATTACCCATTCCTCCTCAAAGCTTCCTCTAAGCCTTTGTAAGCAGGGAGGAATTGCCAAAGAGTGACTTTATAACCAAGCAAAACCAAAAATAAGAAGGTTCTTTCTCCCACACTGTGAAGCTGGATGTTACTCATCCAATAGCTTATGCACTGTGAGGAGGGGCTTCCCAATCAAAATACAGGAAATCAAATATGTTATAAAATAAACTGCAAGATGCAGAGCCCCACACAATTTCTTCAGCAGCAAACACAGATACATGTCTCCACTTCCCCATCCCACTGTCCCACACCTCTTTGTTGTACCAGGCTCAGTGACACTGAGACCAACACATAAAATGAAGTTATGTTATTTTGAGAATAAATAAAACATTTTTTCAGTGCCTCCACAAAAGCCCACTCTGTTGGGTGGCTGAATACTGTCCTCAGTCCCTGCTAAGGGACAGGACAAGGATGAGTGGCTTCAAACTCAAACAGAATATATTTCAGTCAGATATTAGGAAAAAATTCTTTACTTAGAGGATGGTGAGGCCCTGGCACAGGTTGCCTAGAGGAGCTGTGGCTGCCTCATCCCTTGAAATGTTCAAGGCCCTGAACAACCTGTGATTGTGGAAGGTGTTCCTGCCCTTGCAAGGGGTTGGAATGAGAGGACCTTGAAGGTCCCTTCCAACCCAAACCATTCTATGATTCTAACAAGGTAGCAGAAGGAAATGTTTTTTTGTATGCTAAGACCACTCATCTGTTCCAGTGAGGCATTCTGAACTACAAATGACATAAATCATGCTGAGAACCAACAGGTACACCTGACCATGCAAAACAAAGTGAATCTCCAGCTAGCTCTAAATACTCTCATCAAAGAGTAGCCTTATAGTCTGATCATCCTCCCCAGACTCTTCCAATCTCCTCAAGATAAAGAGGGATCAGTTTTGTCTCCTGAGCCCTCCTAGAGTCTGCATCATCTGTTCTCACCTGAGAGGAACATTTGCTGTGTGGCCCCTGCAGCAGCAGAGCCTTGAGCAGGGGATGCTGCCTGGGTGGGGACAATTGCAGGGACATGGCTTCTCCCTCTTTGGGTAAGTAGCACTCTCTGAATTCCAGGCTTGGGGACAAATCCTAGAGACAACTTCATCTCTTCCCAGCTGAATGGCCCTCTCCAAAATTACGTGAAGCATAAACATAAAAACTACAAAGAACAGAACATGATGTGGAGACCAAAATCTATCTTAAAAGTGAATCAGACCGAGGCAGACATTGCAAAGGCCACCAAAATAGCTACAGGAGGTCCCCCACCACAAATGTGTAGGAAAGCACTGCCTGGTAGTGATGCGGAGCTGACAGTAATGATAAATGGGATATTGTCTCCAAAAACAAGAAGCTATTTTTCTTAGAGAACCTTGGTAGAAGTGGCATGTGAATTGGATCCTTGATAATACAATATAATACAAATCCAAGAAATCCATAAAGTTACAGAAGGGCTGATGAAGAGCAGAAGCTGAACAGTCATTTTGCAAAGGATGTGGAATGGACATCACCTGGCTCCCTGAGTGTGGCCACAGAAATGCATAAGTCTTTACAGTAGATTTTAAGAATAATTAGGGTGTAAATGAGAAACTGCAGTACAACTCCTGTTTTACTGCAATTAGACTGAGTCTGGCTCATTAGGCTGGGTAGTACTTCCTTTTGAGTAAACATCTGGTTTGTGGGGTTTTTTTCCCCTTTTTAAAGGGAAGAGTAGTGCAGAAAAACTTATTTAGACTTCAGTAAAGTAGAGAGCATAGAAAATTGCCAGCTAATGTGGTACAAGCACTGTGAAAGAAACAGCAAGCAGATTTTAAGAACTAAAGCAACTTGGTACACTTAACTCAGCAAAACAGAGCAATCAGACCTCCTCTCCATCTATAAATATATTAGGAGGAAAATAATCAGGAAGAAAGAAGACTGAGGTACAAGAAAGCACAGCATTGGCACAAGAACAAACACATATAAACTGCCCATGAATAAATCCAGTTTAGACATAAAAACTATGACAATGCTGGCAAAAAACTAGCTGGCAAAGGAGCAAGACTGTGTAAAAAAATAAGAAAATCAAAAGAAGCCAATTTGTTTTTAGGGGAAGCTCAGTAAATTTCCAAATGATTTATAAGACATGGGTCCTTTTATTTGCAGGACAATGTTATTTATGCAGGCAATGCATAAAGTCTCTTCTCTCGCAAGATAAACTGCATGGGTCACTCTAGTAGCAATGAATTTGCCATCCCCACCTTCCCTGGCTATTTGTGAATTTCTGATCATTAAAATTAAACCATTTGTGTGGCTTCTTTGTTTTCCTGTCTGGACACACATTAAGCCCTGCTGACCTGCACTGGTTCAGCTCCCTGGCTGGCTTTGGAGCCTCCCTCAGGAGCCTGGCTGTGCTGACAGATGTGCTGGGTGGCACCCCCTGCCCTTGGCTCCCCCTGCACGGGGCAGAGCTGCTGACACCTCTCAGTCTCCTGACACCAAGTTGCTCAGACCCCCTCTCCTAATGGTAGGATAATAAAATGGTTTTGTCACAGATAACTCATCACATCATCTCTAGTGATATAATCATAGCACAAGGCAGTACCTAATTCTAGAGGATTTACATCAAAACCAACAGAGAGCAGGGTGGTACCAGTCCTGTTATTGATGCTTTGGACTCCATCCTTCCTTCCCTTCCTCCTCCCAGATTAATACCAGAGTATCTCAGCTCTCATCTGGCAGTGCAAGTCTACTTGTCTTCCCCTGTGATTGACTTGTAATGACTCTGTAAAACTCAGGTTAAGAGGGGTTGACTGGTTTGAGAGAAGCCATTTGCAAGATAATATTGATACATCACTCCACCAAACCAGATCACTACCTCCAGGACCACTGACAGACCAGACTCCTCCTTCCTGATCATTCCTGCAGCAAGGAAATCAAAACCTTGGGCTCAATAACAGTGTCACAGGAGCCAGATTCAAATTCTAACAACTTTGAATTACATCTGAACAGCTCCAAGGCTTAAAATTTCATCCCAGGTTAAGCTGCATTTAAATAAACAACCCTTAAGCTAATAAATACAGATAACAAACAAGCTGTGTGCTGAGCATGATGAGCCAGCCTGGAGTTCCAGCTGCTCCTCAGACCATTGTTGGAGTTGTCCTCCAGGAACCCCTGGATATCAGCAAATCTTCTCCATTGAATTACTGCTTCCAGGGAGCCAAGTACTGCAGCACACTGTTTTGGGAGTCAGTGAAAAAAAGCCTTACAGGAGAGGAAAAAGATGGATTTCTTCATGAAAACAGGAATATAGGAGAGCTCGAGTCTCATTGCAAGGCTTAACTTCATGGGCTTTGAACTCAAGATCTTCAGATTTAAAAAACCTCATTCTCTCTCTAGCAACATTAAGAGACTTTTCTGTCTCATCTGCTGATTCTCTAGCAACATTAAGAGACTTTTCTGTCTCATCTGCTGATCATCTGCTGATGATCCCCACCAGAGTTTTGCCAGGTGTGTTACCATCTGAGGGCTTCCTGATAGATATTCCAGAAGTTTATGCAAGATAGTGTGGCCACCCAGGCTGANAACCTCAAAAGCCAAATGCACTTTGCCTGGTGGAGATCCTCCTTGTTAGTTTTAAGCTTTGCAGATGCTAAAAAAAAAACCTTGGAATGCTGGCTTTGTTTTTCACTTAACTACAGAATCCCTCAGAACTGAAGGGAGCTTCACTTCAAATACAGTTGATACTAATATTGACAAGCTACAAAAAAAAAAACCCAGGTTTTTCCCTCCTCTGTACAAAGTCTTGAAAACTAAAAAAAAAACCCAGGTTTTTCCCTCCTCTGTACAAAGTCTTGAAAACTCTTTTATCCTCTATGAATGTGAGAGCTTCACTGAAGAGTTTAAGCCCTGCCCCTACAGAAAGAGGAAGCCAAAGGTGAGGTGTGCAGATTGCAGGGAAAATCCTTGCAGAAATACTGCACATGTACTTAAAAATTAATTTTGAAAATATTAATGTGAAAAGACAATATATTGAAATTCCAAAGGTTGTGACAGAAACAAAGATGCTAACTGTGCACTGACCTTGCTAACTTTTATGAAGGTAATTCTTGCTGTATATTTCTTTCCATGTAAATACAAATCTGAAAATAAGTCCATGCTAATTACTATTTTTGAGGAAGTCAAAAAACTTAGATATTATTTGTATTATAATGAAAATGTAGATTTCTTTGCAGTATAATCTACACAATTGAGTGGATTTATAGTATTGAAGGGCAACATCCCATTAAAAAGAATAAAGGAAGTGTGGGAGGCTATTCTGAGACACTTAAAATGGAAGCTCAACGAGACCGCTACTGCCAATATATCCCACAATGTTCTGCCAGTAAAAGGAAGATAAAATCTGTCTTAGCATTTAACAGGAATGAAGCTTTCCAGATTTTTCTGAGGTTCCACAGGAGCTTTCTTCCATTCCCCACAAGATTTAAGTTAGGTGGACCTGATCCAAGTCTACAAAAAATCCAACTCCAAGTCTGAGATCAGACTGAGCCATCAAAGAATTCTATATGGATAGGAACACTGACACCTTTAGGTATATTAACCCATCAGTCAGAGCACTGGTAGGAGTACAGAATGTCAAAGTGAACATATGGAAAAGCACACAGCTCCTGCAGCAATGCAGAGACCTTTTCCTATGTCCATTCTCTCAGGGTGATGCAAACAGAGGGCTGGGAATGCTGTCCAATGCACAAGGCAAGGCAAGGACCTCCCATCTGAGTGTAAGAACAGCTACACTGGTTTGTTGTCAGACTCAGGACTCTGAAAGTTGGTGTGTGAAACCTGGAAAGAAGCAAACTTCTTTGTACAGACTGTGTACACACACAGAGCAGGCATGTACATAGGTGTGAAGTCACTTCTTTCTAAATGGTTTTCAGAATTTCAGTTTGCAGACTACTGAGCGTTTTCTACAAGTGGACCAGACCCTCATATTGCACACTTTTGTTGTTGTTTACAGTTAGAGATTGATTTCTTTCCTGGTTTTCCTTATAGAAGTACTAGTCCTGGCTCAAGAGCTCTGCACTGTATAACAGCTCGACCTCCATGTCCCATTGTATTTAAAATTCTCTAAACAATTTATTGAGGAAAAAGTAAGTTGTGATATGTCAGTGCAGCTGGAACTAGACTGCTGAGGCCAAAAAGTGAGAAAGAATTCCCAAGCAAGATATGGAAACCATAGGTTTTTTGATAGAATTCATTTGTTAACTGGGTAAAACTGTCTGTTAACATTTAACAGTCAATCTGTAAGGAAAGAAGCAAAAAAGAGAGAGAGAAACACAATAGTATCTACCTATTTAATTCAAGTACTGAGGTATTGTTTAAGAAAATTGTCAACATTGAATCACACCATGGAATTGTTCCCATATGAGTTCTGCCTCTATGATTGCACAAGATTTTTATGTATAATACACCTTTTCAGGTGGTTTCATCTCACCCTTTGGTATATACCTTCTTTCCCTTTTCCTACTTTGAAAACATGCATTAGTTATCAAGCCAGCCTTTTTCCTTTACCAGCATTTGCCAGTCTGCAAAAACTCTTTTCTTGAACTAATTTTGTGTAAGTTTTTCCCTTTTTTTCTTTTGAGAAAAAATTAGTTTTACTTTTTGCAAGTACAAATATTTCCCTTTGGCTGTGATGGTTTTTTTTTGTTTTCATTTTGTATTCTATTTCACAAATCTGCAACATCTTGATCTTATTTTACTGGTAGGAGTCTTGACACCTAAACCCAACTTTGTGATTTTTTTACAGTCACTGCTAGAAGATATAGAGACTTTTCATTTGTATTTTTAAACAAATTGTATTTATATTAAAAATTGCCTGACTTCCAAACAAAAATAATTGTGAAGAATTATTCACTTTCTTTTATCTAAAACACTCCTGTGAATTGAAAAGTTTCCAAAATGTTATGAAAATGTGCATAAAGTTATTGAAATTTGTCACTTTAGACATTTAGCATTTAGAGAGTATTGCAGAGGATCTTAAGACATCTTTATATTTTTTAAAACTTTCCACAATCCTTACCATTATATATCTTCATTCTGGTTTTCTTGGTTTTTTTCAAATGTCTGGGGTTTTCAAGGGTATAACTGGCTAGATTTTGAATTCTGTATCAGTGTAATAATTTTTTTAAAAAAAAATTGGGACAAATGGACTTAGATACAAATGTAAACGTAAAAATTGTTCCTTTAAGGTTATAACAAAGACAGTCAGTTATGATCCTCTATAAATGTAAACAGAAGAAATATTAACAGATGCCACTGATATTTCACAAGTAATCCAATGTAGTCCTCTTTGTTTGGCAGCTTCTAACTTGAATGAAATTCTTCCCAAACTAAAGCTGGGGTTTCTTTTTAAAGACAAGTATCAATATTTGTTCATTCTATGTAAAATATGTTACTCCTTTCCATTATTTGAATGTACAATTTGTATGTTACAAATTATTACCAGTATGGAACCATCCAAATATTTTCTTCCAACAAACAGAAATACTGAATCTTTCATGTATGGTTTTCAGACTTCTCAGTTCATCACAAAGAAGGTTTTAACCTGAGTTCACATACACTTGTTTCCTTGTGTGTTAACTACCCCAGAAGAGCTACAAATGTAGAGGTTTGTTAATACATAAATAAGCAGTAAATCAAAGACAGACAAGTTCCTGGTTTAATATTCAGGATAAATGGGAATTGTATTGGTCCAATCACATTTAGAGAATTAACCTCCTTATTCTGATTCTGTACTTCACAAGTGGCTCATGTCTTTATGTGGACAATAAACATAGAAACTGAAGAGGAATATTTATTTCTTCCAAAAGCACCAATACTTGGAAGCTTGAATGCCTTAAAGCCATAGCACTTTGTTCTCTGAAAGAGAAATGGAAATGGAAAGTTTGAAAGTCCCACCTGATCTCATTTCTAACACTGCACTCCTTTGGCTAAGGGAGTCTCCTCCACTCAATGGAAAGGTTGGCCTCTGTTACCCCATACTTCAGGCACTATTTGAAGTAGTTGAGTCCTGCCACGAGGAAAAACTTCTCCAGGAAAAGTTCAGAGTCCAGCACGGCAATGTGGGCAGCCCGGCCTATCAACGTGTTGGCGGTGTTAGGCAGAGAATGGAACACGTTGTGTCTGATCAAAGTGCAGTCCTTGGCCCCAATCAAAGGCTGGAGCAGGTTGTTGATCATTTCTGCGTAAACAGGACCTGAAAAAGAGTTGAGATCTCACACCTACACGCCAAAGCTCCCAGATCCTCTATTTTCTTCCAGTATAAATGAATTACAGTCATGGTGAGAGGGAAAATGGAAGTAAGGCCAAAATAAATGTAAGAGGCAGCAGTCCAGTTCAAAGATTTGCCTGGTGCCAGTGATGTTCATCTAATGGAGGCACTGGGCACAAGGAGGGATCTGCTGAAGCTGCTTAGCATCAGGCCTAGGAATCCTCAGCCCTTCCTCTGTCGGTGAAGAAAATGCTAATTTTTCTTTTAGGGGAGTGGGGTTGGACTCACACTGCCTATGATTTCAAATGTCTGCCTATGATTTCAAATGTGAGAGGATCTGGCAGGACACAAGTCCATTTGTGCTTCTCTGAGGATTCTAATGCAAGAAAGGCATCATGTAGAGATAGTTGAGGTGTTTATAGGGGCAGAAACAATGGCTCAGGAAATATTTACAGATAAATTATCTGATGTATTGATAAATGTACTGATCTGGCTCCTGCTAGGTCAAACATGTCCCTGAGGAACAACCACTGTAGGTGAATTGAAGAATTTCCTTTTAATTCATGTCTGAGTGGGATAGAAAGAGATGTTATTTAAGGAAGAGGTGTGAAGGGAACCATGCTGATTATTGGGCCTGTGTGACTCTTTCTGCTTCCAAAAGTATCTCCATTTCTAGGTAATCACATGTGTGAAATGGGGACGAAATTGCACTGAACATTATTCCTGGATGTGGTATCAAACTGAAGCCATAAAAAAATGCTATAAATGAAGAAAACTTCTAATAACAAAAGAAACACACACAGCCTGAGCTCATAGGAGGCCCTCTAGTGATGTGAGCCCTGATGTGTTTTACAAATTTTTATTACAAGACAAAATGATTTTAGATCTGTCCATTAAATTCTACTACAATCATTCAAACACTATTGGAAACAAAGGGAAAACCCCCTTACTTTGGATGTGTTGAGAAAGATTCCATTATGTGTAAAAAAGGAGAGACAATACAAGTAAATCATTAGACTACAGAAAAACATTGTCAAGAGCTAGTTCTATTATCACTTTAAAAAAAAATAAAATTAGAGGGAAGGGGAGGAAGCAGTAAAAAAGCTTTGATTATGACCTGATTGAAATTTGTTTTCATCAGGCAAAGAGCTTCTCAGAAAGCTTCTTTTATTGATTTCAGTAATTTCCTGTGGGAAGCGAACACTTTCTTCCTTATCAAATAAACATTTGAGTTTTCATCATGTTGATGAAAAACCCTTCTAATGTAATGACCTCAGTTGCACAGAAATGCAATTCTTCCACAGCCTTGGGAATATATAAAAGATCTTAAACATACCTGTGTGTCTGTCCTTAAGTGCATTTTTGCACATTTCTATTCTTGCTGAATGAAAAGGTACGTATCTGTCTTGGGGTGAGGCCACTAACACAACGTTTTTAAAATACTGAAGACCTGTGGCAAACATATGAAGTAAAATGATCAGAATTAAGCACAAAGACAAAAAATAATACAGTGTCAGCATGACTATTTCATTTTTAAAGGCTTTTGAAAATCTACAGTGCAAAATAGATGATAATTATTAAAATATGCAACACAGTCGTAGAAAGATTCATAACAGCTTAAACACATTTCTGTTCCTTCTGTGAACTTATCAACACTCACACAGGTTAATTTTCTGTCAACAGGGAAAAGTAAGAACTGTCTGTAAAAAAAATACTTTTCTTAAAACCTTATTCTTGAAAATAAAAACAAAACTTTTATTACAACCTTATTGTTGCAAATATTTATACCTTTTAACAGGATCAAGTTCAAAAATAGCACAAAAAATATTAAAAATGAAGTAGAGATAAGGAGAAGGAATTGCTATAATATCATACTGTTACATTGGTGTAGAGTCAGTGTTAAGGTCCATCCAGTCCCTGCATGGAGCAGTCATTTGACAAATCCACACTTCTGGTATATCAGCTAAAAACCAAAATCCTCCCTCTTCCTTGGAGTTAATGGGGCCACTGATGAGCTCCTGCTGTTTGACCTGTCTATGTTCTCTTGAGTGCCCTTTTACCCATATTTAACAGAAAAGTGAGAAAATGGACACTGATGATGGAACCTACATGTGCAGAGAATATCCTGAACACAGAAATGCTGTGAGTTCGTCCTTCATCTTTCCCTCCCTCTTACGGGAAAGTGGTCCAGAACCAGAGCCAGGTTGGATGGGGTTTTAGCTACCTGGTCTAGTGGAAGGTCCTGTTGCAGGGGGATCAGAACCAGATGAACTTAAGGAACATCCATGTCTCTATGATTCCACAACTATGATTTCTAGACTTTCATAGAAAATCTGACCATCAGCACCACAGTGAAAAGTCCTGCTGGCTGCCTTTCCAAAACCTGACTCAAGGTGTTATTCATTTTCTCTTGTGCAGTCAAACCAACTGAGTTTGCAACTTTGATCTGAAGTCAAAGGTAGGAGGAGCCCCAGTGGGTGTTAGGCACAACACTGCTCTTGGCATTTCTCCTTCTGTAGGTTCTCCCCACCTCTTTTGGGAGAAGGGTGCCAGAGTAGGGACATCTCTGTACTGAATCAGTGTGCCAGCTCATACCTTCACATATGGACATATCTCCATCTTTGGATATTTTGCCTAAGCATCTACCCAGATGATTCTGATTTTACAGACAACTCTCTCCACATTTAATTTTCTGCTTTCTCTATTTTCAGGGACAACACCTGCATGTATAGCTTCTTATATCTCCAGTCTACCAAGCTAACAAGAAGCAAATCACTTTGAGTCACTACCCTTGCTTGGGAATTCATTGCTTGGGAAGTTAAAATATGAGCTTTTTGTGTATACCCAATTTCATTTTAACTTGACAGTAGTGAAGTAGTCATCAACTGTATTCTGTGGAAATAAGAACTAGGGAATCAAAGGGAAAATTCCAATAACACCAATTTAAGTCAACTTCCTGTCATTGACTGAGTTATGTAGTCGTATCTGTAAGATTTAGATGTTCTATTCATATTAACATAGTCTTTAATTCTTCTCATACAAAAGTATGAGAATTAAATATGAAGTAGTGACCTTATCACTACATACTAGCACCAGTTTGCTCACACACAATATTAAAAGTAACTCTTAAAATAAAACAACTACTTCAACAAAAGGATCATGCTTGCTTTCTTTTCTTAAGAAAAGCCTGATTTATTTAATTTATTCATGACAGACTAAAGAACAGGAAAAACGATTCTCTATTCAGACATAATTTTTCTAGTGTGAGGCCATACATCTCTCTCTGTAGTACAGAATTGTCAAAACAGACATGAATAAAATTTGCTCTTCATCACACAGAGTCATATTTCCTATAGACAAGAGATGTTAAACTTACAAAAAAATAATAAAAAAGGAAAAATGGTTTTCTTCTCATAGCATAAATTAAGCAATGATGGCCTGTCAAGAATGATGTTTCTTGCCTGCAGAATATAAACTTAGGTACATGTTTACTGCACCACAAAGGTCATATTTAATGCTAACACTTTGGCAAAGACATTATCTGATGACTTTCACAGGAAAAATGCACATATTAAACTGATATTAGTTTTTAGACAGGGCAGCCCTTCTAAAAAGCCTATTTAAAGAAAATTCATTGAAAAAATGCAGATTTCCTTTACTCCCTGGAGAACAGCCCAAACCAGCACAAGCCAATGGAATAGCCCTTGGTATTTACAAAGGACATCAAGCCCTACTCACCCGTTTTTTGGCTGAGCTGATAGAGGAAACACTTGCGCAGGTCCGCGTTGTCCCTGAAGGTCAGTTGCAAAAGTGACCCTGACTTTTTCAACTTCTGCATTAGCCACAGACCTGGATTGAAAGTTGGTGCATATTTTTACCCTTTGTAAATTGTGAAGCAGGAGAATTAAAGA